CAGGGTCGACCATTTTTCCTTTGAGATATTCCAGAGGCCACAGAAAATTTCATACTAGATGGAGCACGAGTTGCAAGAGCCGATCCCTCATTCGTAATACTGCCAGTATTTCCAAGCATAACCCTTCTTCGACTTTCTTCACGGCGAACTTCTGAAAAAACTTCTCTGAGGCTAGGCATAGGTTTAGTACCGAGAATTCTTCCTCGGACCTCGTCAAGTTCTTGGTTGAGTCCAAGAAGAAATTTATAAATCCTTTCCGTTTCCACCAACCGCTTGTACTGTTTCCCATCTAGTGGGCAGTTCCAGGTAATGGCATCCAGGACATCGAGTTGCTGCCAATAACGGTTCAGTGCCGTAAAATAGCTCGTCACAGTCAACTCTCCTTGACGGAGATCATGAAGAATCCCTTTGATTTCAAATATGGCTGAAGTGTTGTCTTGATTTGAGAATGTATCTCGAGCTGCCTCCCAAATTTCTGATGCTGTCTTGTAAAACATAAATTGTTCACCTATTTCCGGAGTCATAGAATTCAAGAGCCATGACATAACCATATTGTTCTCTGCTTTCCAATTTTTGTAACCTGGGCTTTTAACTTCCGGTTGGACCAGATCAATGGACAGGTATTCTTCTTTACCTTTCCCTCCGATGAAGATTGAAACAGAGTGAGACCAAAGGTTGTAGTTCTGGCCATTCAGCTTATATGCAGTGGGCAAAGAGCTGTAATCGAGATTAATGGTTGGTTGGATTTGAGATGAGTTTTCGAGTGATGTGTTGGAACTAACATCATCACTGACTAGGGCAATAGGTACATTACCGAATTTGATTGAAGCATTCATGATGAGAGAGTAGTGGAAGAACCCAGTAAAAGCAGGGGAAAAAAGAGAGAGAGAAAATTGATTTGGAATGAACCCACCAGGGAAATCACTGATTCAGAAGAGACCTGACCAGCCCGTTGAAGAATGATACTCGATTTAGAGCAGGATCGAGTGCTGCTCTGATACCATCAAGAGTTCTGTTTATCTCTTGTAGATAGGAGAGGATAAGAGAGATAGAGAGAGAAGCTCTCAACTTTATTATTTGTCATTCATTTCTTATCCAATCAATCCAATCAAACAGAAGGAACAGGATATAAATAATAATACAGGTAGCAGTGACTCAGCCCTAATAGTTCTGATAATTACAATACTACCCCTCCATGCTAAATAAAGTAAACAAATAAGGAAAACTAAAACTCAGGAATCTTCACTCTTTGTTCTCTGTCTTGAATATTTCTCACGATTACTCACCACGAAAACTAGCCAAGGAAACTTCAATTTCCACCCACAATGTGCTTCTCTAGGAATTACACATCTAGCCTATGCAGATGACCTAATGCTCTTTTCGAGAGGCGACTCAGATTCCATAAGAATGTTAGTCGATGCTCTCAAAGATTTTGGGGATGTATCAGGCTTAAGGGTAAACCATGAGAAGTCTAATATTTTTGTTGGCGGGGTGAGGGGTTTGGAACTACAAAATATCCTAGACCTGGTTGATTTTGGGCAAGGTGAATTTCCGGTTAGATATCTTGGAATTCCCCTTGCCCCCCTTAAGATCTCCGTTGCACAATACGCACCGCTGATTAGCTTAATCCAGGATTTCTTAAACGCTTGGAATGCTAAAATTATATCCTATGCCGGAACGATTGAACTAATCCGATCAGTGATCCAAGGGGTCCAATCGTTTTGGCTCCAAATCTTTCCGGTCCCCCAAACTATTTTGGACAGAATCATCTCAATATGTAGAATTTTTCTATGGGGTGGGAAACATGCAAAAGTTGCATGGGACGATATTTGCCTACCAATGGCCGAGGGAGGACTTGGCATCCACAATGCAAAAATATGGAATCATGCCCTCCTCTCACGATTGATTTGGGATGTCCACAACAAAAAGGATACCCTTTGGGTAAAATGGGTAAACGGAGTCTACCTGAAGGGTAAGAGTGTGTGGGAGTTTTCCCCACACAACCGGGATTCCCAACTGATGAAAAGATTAGGCATTATTAGGGACAAATTAATGGGATGCTTTAACAACCTAAATGACACCCTAATGGGCCTACACTCAAGGGCCACGAATGGGAAACTAATATCAGGGAAAATATATGAACTCTTAAGGGTAAAGAGTGACGAAAGGACTTCAATGAGTTTCATTTGGAAGTCATATATCCCTCCTAAATTCTCGTTCAATGTATGGCTAGCCCTACGAAACCGGCTACCCACCCAGGACAGCTTGGCCTATCTGCACATTGTAAACAGGTGTGACCTATGCAAGGGTGGATTGGAAACAATTCCACACCTTTTCTTCCTTTGTCAATTTTCTTGCAGGGTTTGGAACCAAATCAAAGAATGGATGGGCTTCAATCACCAAATGTCCACGCTCGTGAGTTCGATAAAATGGATCAAGAAGGAACATAGAGGCTCGAGACTAAAGGCGAAGGCGGCAAGATTGGCCTTCTGCGCAACGGTCTACTACTCTACTACACGTGGCGGGCTAGAAACTCCATTAGATTTGACGAAAGCAATCTGAAGGAAGAAGACGTCATAGCAAAGATAAAGCATGTGGTCTACAAGATACTCTACACACTATACCCACATGACTTGATCCGTTTCTGAGGATAACCTCCATGGCCGTGGAAGTCCCACTCATACTTGATGGGTTACATAGCCAACACTGATTTTTTACTTGACCATGATCTGTGTGCGTGCACTAAGCAGCACCGATTATTTTTGTTTGAGGCATTTGGTATTGTATACTTAGGCCTTTTAGTTTTGATTTTGGCTTAGATTTAGATCAAATAAAAACCTCTCCTAACCCCTACATTAGGTAGGGGTGGGGGGGGTTTAGGAGATCTAGACCTATGGTCTTCTGATGTATATTCTTTTGGGTGTCAATATATATTTACATTTCATCCAAAAAAAAAAAAGCTACTTAAGTTTGCTACACATTTGAGTAGATTCTTGGGTTATTGTACTTAAATGAACTGATATGTTGAGCTGTTCTATTGTCCTGCTGTGTTGAACTGTTACTCTCCAGTCTCCACAATCATAATGGACTCAACTCTTATATGGTGTTATTTCACATTAAAATAAAAACACTCTTAACTGAAGCTACAAATACTGTGACCAAATAATTCCTTGTTGAAGTAAAACAAAGTCAGACCTAGGAGTACAAGATTATTTTCATTTTAAACTGCATTTTTTTTAATATGCAGGCCTAAATCTTGTGTCATTTGTATTGCTCTAGGCAGATTTACATTTTCTTAATTCCAAATGTTATTTTCATTTCAAACAGCAAATCTTGATATGCAAAAATCGATATGGAATTATGTGGCCTGAATCCTACTCCATGCATATTGCGTTAGGCAGATTTGCATTTAGTTATTATTACAATGTTTATGTATTGGCCTGAACTACATGTTTTATATTACTTCATGGTACAGAAACATTGCAGGTTTCAGGATTAGAAGAGAATATTTTAGTTTGAGATGTCATTTATTAGTGGCTAACTATGAGGATACAAAACATTACTTAACATCAAGGTGCTACTTATTTCTGTAAATTAGATTGAATTTAGGTTAAATATTGATGATGTCTGTATGATGTAAAATCATTACTATTAAGACAAAGTCAAATATTCTTCGTTGAGGCTACACTTTATGAAAGTTTGAAAAGTACCCAAATTCTCATCCTTCTCTTGAAGCATTATTAGTGGTGGAATATCTGAAAAATGTACTTGTGAACATTCCCTCCATTCCCTGCTTTTTATCCAAAATAGAATTAAAAAAAAAGCAAGTAGCAAGAGGAAGTGTTCCTCGGTTCATTTCTACTTAAGTTACACAATATATTTTTTTATCCAAAATAGAATTAAAAAAGCAAGTAGCAAGAGGAAGTGTTCCTCGGTTCTTTTCTACTTAAGTTACACGATATATTTTCAAAGAGAACGGTATAGATTCTGTTTGATATCTTAATCAGGTTTAAGGTGTGCACTGTTGTTCTTTTACACTAAATAATCTCTTTTACACTAAATAATCTCTGCTTCAAGTAGTTAAGAATTTTGACTGGGTCATCAGGTCATAACCGTAAGGTGTTTACATTTTTTGAAGTTTAAGTGCAGGCAGTTACAGTAATATTACATTACTATGTGCGTAGTACGAAGTTTAAGTGCAGCCAGCAATTTGGCCGAAACATATAGCGGTGATTATATTGTAGTTTACAAATGTGTTCGAGGATAAAGGCAAAGTTTTTAAATTTAACACATTTAATGGTTGATGGTATTTGTGTTATAGACTTGACGGGTCATTTGGACTAATACTTTGTGGGCATAAAATACACATTGTGTGCTGAGTGAAGGGAGTGAAGTGTGTTGCAGGAAACTGAATCAGATCAAGAAGAAAACAGAACAATAAACAAGAATTTTATAGTAACCAAAATGAAAAAACCAATATGTAGAGATAACCTTGTTCATAGAGTAGCAAGAAGGCCAAAGAAGATGACATGAGGAGGGGGTAAGAGGAGAGGTGATCGATATGCAGCAGCATGACAATGGGTTGTGGCGATCGGTAGTGAAGCATTGAAGTAACTGCATACACCTATTTGGTGCAGGGTTAACGGAATGGGAATAGAGACGAGAAAGACGGAAATTTTATGTGGGCCAACAGAAAAAGAACCATTTTAACGGAATATGACATTTATTATATAAGGGGAGATATACACTCAGACAATATAGAACAAGATAGTGCAATGTGAAGTATTTATTTTGGTTGTCACAAAGTTTAATAGTATAGGACAATCATTTATTTTTTATTGATGTACAAAAACTATCATAATAATAGATGTTTTGAAATACTTCTTTATATGGGTCATGTTATTGGTTATTATTGGTGGTGGATGCACAATGAACCTTTAACTCACATCTCACCATAGAACAGGCGAACCGGGAACACCTCCCTAGGAAAAATCTGCCCCCTCAGATCAAAATAACCAACGTGTAAATAAATTAAATATAATTCCGAAAAAAAAATTGCAACAAAATTCCAACTCAGCACACTAAAAATGGCCGGGCTTGGAATACATACATACAAACAAACAAATGGGCTTGGTGGCCCGACCTGGTTCATTCAACATCCATTCTTAAGTACCCCAGAATTGCTTCATGATGATCAGAGAGGAAATAAATGTACAAGAGAAAACACGAAATAGTGGCTGCGGATCTCAAACCTGCATAGAGGGCAAGTATTATGAGAGCATAGAAGGTAGGGTTTGTGATTTGAAACCCGCAACCAGTTCGAAATGCAATTGGCATGGAATATGTGCTGACATGGCAGCAGCATTGCTGGATTTGCTGCCGCGGTGTTGGCCTTGTCAGGATCAGGGAGAAGCTCATTCAGACATTGGAGGCGAATCACGAGGCAGTGCGGTTCGTACTTGCCCAAACAAATCGCACATGTTTTTTCTTTGTCTAATTTTGCACCACCGCCAAGTTGGAAGAGACGGTAGCCATCGGGCACAATCCTCGGCAGAGGCATTGGAGATGACCGATCGTAATCACGCCATTCACTCATATCAGGCTGCAGTTGGTCAAGGCAATCTAGAAACCAGTTCCAGGCCTTTACTCCCAAAGTTGCAGACAGCTGAAAAGATACACCCAGGCTAATCGAGTATAGCTTTGAGGTAGAGTTGCGATTGACGAGAGGAATAAGCCGATCACGACATCTCCTTACCAAAACACCTGCGTAGTACTTGAGCCATTCTCGGAAGACAAGATGCTGGAAGGGGGAGAGTAGTTTATCCGTAAATAAAGTCATAAGTTCTTCTTGGTCTTCTTCTTGGAGGATCTTCTCCAGGTCAATAGTCTCCGCGCATTCACGGCTGACGTCAACAAACTCCTCAATCCTATACAGAACTTCCTTGTTCCTGCCGCATTCCAGCCACCATGTTTTAGCATACGAAGCATCCCCTTCTTCCAGATATATCCTCACCACAGACCTTTGAAGATCAGGATCATCTTCTGTGTCTATGTCCACGCACCACCCCATATCACAAAAGTTTTCCCCCATTGCTGGCGCGCGAACCAAACAGGAGTATAACTATATACTATCGTCTAATAATTAAGATTGACCGATTGAATTAACGACAGCACAAATCCTTACCGAAGATGGGGGGGATCTCCGTCTCTGGCTCGGTGGCTTGCGCGCTGCAGATGGAACCTAGCTAAGTCGGATTAAGAACAAATCCGGAGTCTTCCTATGTTTCTCTCAGGATTTCGATTTTTTCGCCCTCATATGTTTTTTTTGGAGAAAAGCCCTCATATGTTGTTGCCCGCGGTGGCCGGTGAGGGAGTGTAGCCCATTAGCAATTTTTTTAGAAATTGCCTAAAACTGTAGGAAAGTGCAATATTGGTGATGATCATGTTTTAATTTTCGATTATCCAAATTTAAAAGTTATTAAACTCTCATTTATTATTTAGGGAGAATCGTACTTGCTTTCAATTGTTCGTAAAAATGCATTCCTTTCCGTCAAATTTTCGGAAACAATTAAGTATATTTTTACTTGGACTGTAATTTGTCTCAGACCAGACCAGACTTCGATAGTTATAAAAATACAAAAAAATCAGACCAGACCAGCAAATTATAGTCCAAGTAAAAACATCCTAAATTGTTCATGTTCTCCTCATGAGCTACTTTTTTATACTCCCTCCGGTTCTAAATAAACTTCACACTTTCCTTTTTGGGATGGTATAAAATAAACTTCACACTTCCTTATTTTCTTATTTGGTAAAGAAATCAACTTCAAAACAGTGTTAAACAATGCTAAACAGTGTCTCAACACTGTCAAGCAGTGTCTAAACAGTGTACTCTTCAGTAAAGTCAACTTTTTTTCCTTAATTTACGTGAAGTCAAACTGTGAAGTTTAAAAAGATCCAGAGGGAATACTAAATTATTCAAAGCCTAAACGGCAAAGACACGCTGCTGCTGTCTAAGTTGTGGAAGGCTGCAAGCTTGAAAATTACAATGATACATAGGGTCCTTCAGCCTAGTTAAGGGTTTTTAGGAAACCCTTCTTTTAACTTTTATAAAACTGATTGGTTAATTTGATAACTCGTTATCAATTCAATCAAGAAGTAATAACACGATATAAAATTGTAGTGAATAGTGTTAATTAAGTGGTTATGTGACTGTTGGGATATTGGATCCAGGCCCAATATCCCTAGGCCCAAATCCGGGAAGAAGCAGCAAGCCCAAAGAACTCCCGAACGGCATTCGGGATAAAACTTATACTTGGAACATTCTGGGTAACGATTATGCCAAGGTATCAAGGCCCAAATATCGATCGGCGTTCGGGATACTTCAGGTAGAAATTATCACCTATGGCGGGGTCCCACACACCGAACACCTTGACCGAACGGGCAATCAGCAAGTGGAGGCCGCATTTAATGCTGGATCATGGCGGCAACAAGTGGGGGCATGGGTGCTTACATGGCAGAGGTGATAGCCTACCAGATTCGACCACGTGTCCACCTTACCCATCCCCATTTTAGTATAAATACCCATGTTTAGATCATTGTAAAGGGTTAGCATTTTAATACTCAGAGCTTAGCAATAGATTTACATCTCCCATCCTTATAATCTCATATTCATCTACCGTTCGGGTAGTTTTCAGTGTAATTGCTTAATTACAGAATATAAGTAAGTTCTTGAGTTGGATATCATTTCACTATTTTATATTTTACACACATTTCAATCAACCCTACCCAATATCCCTACAATATCCAAGGCTTGTGTTGGGCTTTCGGATCTTCGGGAATAAACCTCAACATTGGCGCCGTCTGTGGGAAACGAAACTAAAAGTTCAAGGAAAACAGCTGATCTAAGCACCATTTTTTGAAATGGCTAGGCTTCATACCGCTACACCGAGTTCTGCATCCAGAGGACGAGGAGGCCATAGATCCTCTGAGGGGTGGTCCAGGCAAGGACACGCCAGTGGCAGTGCCACCCGGGAGTTCGAGCAAATCATCCCCCAGGATGTAAGGATGAACCCTCAGTTGATGAGGGATATGGCGGAGGCCATGCAACGCATGGCGGACGAACAGGAACGGGGCTACACGGATGAAACTCATGAGCCACCATCCCCGTTGCGTCCCATGCCATCTTTTGACGAAGAGGAGGACATCGAGACTACGATGGCCTCAATTCATTCCGAGGAACGCCGCAGGAACCACTGGAGGGCCCATACCCCCAGACGAGGAGCACCAACCAGCCGAACCCCGTCCGCCCCTCGAAACGGATACAGGGAACCTACCCCCATGATAGATCCCGTTGGACAAAACTTCCAATATATCCAGAGGGATGGGGAACGCTTCATCCGGAGGAGGGCTAACATAGCTGCTCCTCCCCAGAACAGAATACCGGAATGTGTGGATGCTCGGATACCACACACTCCCCGAACGGCCCAAGACGACGAAATGGCCGAAATGAGGAGACAGATGACTGAGCTCAGAGAGCAGGTCAATCGGACGCCCCAACAAACCCCGCCAGCACGGGTTGGGATCACCTCTCCCTTTACTAGGGAAATCATGAACGCCGAAATCCTGAAGGACTGCCGTCCCTCGACCGGCTTAGCATACGATGGGGTGGGAGATCCCCACGTACACCTGAGGAGTTACCAGGGTGGCCTCATGCTATTGGGGGCCACCGACGCGGCAATATGCAGGCTGTTCTTCAGTACCCTTCGGGGACCAGCCCAGGAATGGTTCGGAACATTACAACCCGGGTCGATCGGGAGCTTTGCGGAGCTATCCACCTTGTTCTTGGCTCAGTTCGCCTCCAGCACAACCCCGAAATTACATTTCGGGTATCTAACCAGTGTGAGGCAAGGGCCTAGAGAATCAATCTCCGGATTCCTCACCAGGTGGAGGACCGAAACCCTGAAGGTGACCGGCATGACAGATGAGACGGCCATCCTTCTTTTCACCGATGCCCTTCAGACGGGAGATTTATACAGGGAGCTGAAGAGGAATCCGGGGACCAGCTACCCAGACATCCTGGAAAGGGCCAGGAACTATGCGGCCCTGGAAGAAGAGATCAGGATAAGGGACCGAACGGCCCCGCAACCTCCCACTTCAAGACTGGCAGAACGTCTGGGACCCACACCAGCGGCTGCAGCACCTCAACATTGGCGCCGTCTGTGGGAAACGGCTGTTGCCACCTCTGTTGCCCCGATTTGGTGCCATCCACTATGATCCTGAGCAGAATGAGGACAATCTGCGTGCTGAACTCCACTTCATAGAAGAAAGAAGGGATCTCTCAGCTTTACGAATGGAGGAATATCACCGGGCAACTAAGAGGTATGTGGATAAACAGGCTAAAATCCGTTCGATCGAAGTCGGAGACCTTGTCCTGAGGAATAGAGAAAAAAGCAAACCGCTAGAGGGCGGGAAGATGTCAAAGAATTGGGAGGGACCATACAGGATCTGGAAAAAATACCGGACGGGGACCTTTTCACTACAGGATACCGAAGGCCGTCCGGCAGGGATATGGAACGCTACGCATTTGCGGAAATTTTATCAATAAAAAACGGCTGTTGCCACCTCTGACAAAAAAAAAAAAAAAAAAAAAAAAAAAAAAAAAAAAAAAAGAGGGAGAACAATGTTTCCAACGAGGCCAGAGTTAAGAGGAATATTGCGAGCCGAACGGTATCAACATGCCGAACGGCATCACCACAAACTCGGCCAAAAGTCTCACCTTGATCTATAGATATCATTTATCTCGATCCATGGGGAGCCATCATCTCAGCACAAAAAAAAAAAAAAAAAAAAAAAAATGTGCAGGATACCAAGCCCGGACTCGGCTTGGGAGATGGTGTAAAAGATCTTGAGTAGGACGAACCGGGCGGCATCCGAAGTCATAGGGTGACCGAGCGGGGGATCGGGACTCTGGTCTTAAAATCTTGCCTTGGGCATACAGCTCGTCTGAACTTTATGGTGGTGGAACCCGAGCTGTATCCTGGAGGCGAGTCTCCATTTTGGCAGAGAATAAGGGGGAGACCCGAATTGGGAGCCTTATTCTCAACGGTCCAGGATGGACATCTCAACCTCATAATATGGATGACCCCGGACGGTAAAACCGACGGTATGCATCGAAATTATGGGCTTGGAAGATGGCAGACACTACACGAATTGTGAAATTGTCTTGCAGCAAGAGGTGATTGCCTTGCGAATAAAGAATACCGCGGAAGATAACCCGAACAGGTTACTCTAGCCTTCAGGGAACAACCAGTCGACGGTAATAAAACCGGACGGCGTGCATCTGAAACATGGTGCTCGGAGGCGCAGCAAGCATTTAACATTGATGACTTGCGCGTTCAAGGAACAACCAGTCGACGGTAATAAACCGGACGGCATGCATCTGAAACATGGTGCTCGGGGACGCAGCAGGCGTTGAACATTATGTCTTGCGCGTTCAGGAAACAAAGAACAACAGACGGAAATAAATCGAACAGCTTGCACCTCAACTTTGGTGTTAGGGAAGGGTCGAACAGCTTACATCTCAATCATGAGGCTGAGTTGAATAAAAAAAAAAAAAAAAAAAAAAGAGTGTTCGGGAAGCAAGTCATTCGGAAACGGATCAATCTTTATTCTTCGGCACTACTGACCGGGAATTATACATAAGAAGAAGAAAAGGAGATTACAACAGAGATAACTAAGCTACGGGAGGATCCTTGTTCGGCACGGCATCCGAGTTGGGGTTCGGGGGATTGGCTGAATCTTTAGCCTTCTGCCTCTTCTCCATCACCCGTTGATAAGCACGGCAGAATAAGGGGTCGAAACCTTCCTCCTTGGGGTCGAAGGGTTCATCGAATGATTCCTTGATCACTTCCAGATTCCGGTCGACCAACATATCCTGGCACTTAACAAGTGTGTCCCTTGCTAGGGCATTGGCGAAGGCTGTCCCGGACGGGGTCTCATCCAGGAGCTGGAGGCCGTCACGAAGAGGATCCTTGCTCTTTTTCAAGAACTCCCCAAGATGCTTTCCAAGGAACTCCCGGGCAGTCTCCTCCAGGGCTACGTTCAAACCTTTACCCCTTTGGAAATCAATCACTGCCTGCTGAGTGATTCTAGAAATATCGGCCTGAACGGGTGCTGCTGGCTGTCCGCCCTCTTTAGGCTGGGTCTTTTTAAACTTAACACCAGCAGCTTCGGCAGCAGCAATCTTGTCCTTCAGCGCCCGGATCTCCCGATCGCGACGCTGGAGCCTCTGCTCCAATTCGGCCAATTCAGCCCTGGCCTTGTCACCCTTGTTGGCTCGATCTTGGAGATCTGCAGCCATTTTCCTAGCAGCAGCCAAAAGGGTTTGGCTCTCGTCCAGCTCCTGATGAAGGAGGGTCATCTCCCGTTCAGCTGCTA